CACGCCTTTGGATTCAAAGTTGAGGTTCTGCAGGCTGTGGGAGGCACAAGACCCTACTTCTGGAAGTCAGTCACAGTTTTCACAACTGGGTTTTTTTTCTGCGATTGTCCAGAAAACTTGGAGTGGAAAGCCGAGTCCCCAGCCTTTCTTCCCTCTTCTGTATTCCTGACTACAGCTCTGTGGGGTCAGTAGCACCATAGGTCCCCTTATGTACCCTGGACTTGTATTTAAATTGCTCTTTCCTATTGATTTCCATGAATTATTAGGCAAAAGAACAATCGGTGGTCCTCTCTGTTCTAGCAGCTTCCAGAAACAACTCCTTGCTCTCCTCCAGAATGGTGTGGCTATGGAATGTGTGGAGGTCACAGATGTCTCTCGCAAGGGCCACACCCCTGCCCCCTTTACTTTTGCTGGTTAATTCCTAGTTAGGCTTCGGGCCAGAGAAAAAGTGTTATTATCTCTGGAGAGCCTTAGATGTAAGAATAATTTATGTTTGTGTTTAGTCTCATCCCTTGAAATGTCTGTAAAGATAAATCGTGTACTGCACTGATGACAGAGGAGAAGGCAGAAGGACAGAGTGTCAGTCTAAGGGGGCCAACCAGTGGACATCCGTCCCTTATCCCTGCTCCTGGAATGGCTGCAGTTAACTCAGGGAAGAGGGCTAACCAAATGCCCAGGTATGCCACATCCATTGCCACATGAGTTTCCAGACAATTGGGGAGATAAAAATCTGTTTTAGAGCGAAAATTAAACTCAGTTCACTGGAAGAAGATGATGGTGTAACTTTCTCTTATCTCTGGCTCTCAGGAAATTCAGATTAATACACTCATTCCTTCTCTCCTGCATGGTGTTTTCATCAATCAGAAAGAAAGGAAGTTCAGGTTTAAGAGTGAGCTCTTTGTTGCCTTATCCAGAAGTGGAGAAGGGATTCTTCTCCATTGTGGTTCAATCCCTTTCTGTGTATATAGGTTTAGAGGAATTCGTAGGGCGTGTGGAATGTGAGTGGATTTATTTCCTAAGTGTAAAATTCAGTCTCTGCAGAGAGATATTCTGGACAGAAGCGGCATGAAATTATCAGAATAAAATCCCTAAATCTAAAAAAGTGTATTTTGAAAAAAAAAAAAAAAAAACTTCCCTTGTACGTGAAGGTTTACTCTCAGATGAACTTTTCTTCCACCCAATATTTTTGTAAAAGAACCCCGCCCAAGTCCCATCCTTTCATAGATTCGAAGAGCCTCAGGTCTTGGTCTGGTCCAGGATGGAGTTTGGATAAAAATACGTGGATGTGTACTAAAGGACCAATCACTTTCTACAACCTCTTGAAGTCTGAGATGTGGGGCTTCCCAGGGGTGAGCTAGCGGGCCGGGCCTCACCCATCTGCTCCTACCCGGGGGCTTTTGGGCAGGGTCTTCCAAGTTGCCATCTTGTTTTTCCCACCCCCTCAGCCATCTCATCATTCCACTGTAGTAAGGTTGCCTTCCTCTCCAGTAAGGTTGCCTTCTTACCTTTTTCTGTTTCTGGTCCAGCTCTTTCCTCCATAGCTGTCTAGTCCGGGGTTTTTTGACCTCAGCACTATAGACATCTTGGGTCACATAATTCTTTGTAGTGAGGGGCTGTCCTGCACACTGTAGTATGTTCAGCAGCATCTCTGGCTCATTCCAGTAGATGTCAGTGGCACCCCTCCCCAGTTATGACAACCAAAATTGTCTCTAGAAATTGTCCAATGTCCCCTGGGAGCAAAATCACTCCACTGAGAACGCCTGCTCTAGTCCTCTCTCCCTTCACCTGGAGCCCTTGTTCATTAAGCATTTGCTACGTGGAAGACACTGGGTTAAGTCCTTCATGTGTTTTAGGTAGATGCTTCTCAAAATTTCATGTATATGAGAGTCACCTTGGGAACTTCTAAAATGCATATTCTGATTCAGTAGTTTTAGGAAAGAGTTTGAGACTGTATTTCTAACAAGCTCCCAGGTATCGCTGCTGCTGCTGGATCATGGACCACACTTTGCGAGCAAGGCTGTATGTCATTGCGTCCTCGTGGCCCTATGAGGACTCTCTTACAGGTGAGGAAGTTGAAGCCAGGAGAGGGTATAAATGGCTCAATCACATTTGAACCCAGGTCTGCCAGCCTTGAAAGCATGTGCTCATAACCAGCAGTCTCAGCTGATGTTGGGCCAAGGTCCCTGAGTTCTCTCCCTGCCCTCCCTTCTCTAGTAATGGTGCTATAATAAGCTCACCTGAGGCCGAGGTCCAGGCATGCGTTTGCCTGGTCTGTCCGTGTTATATTATTCCTTCCTTAGATGGAGTGACCTGCTCATGGTCTCAGGTGGATCTCCTGGAGCTGCTGAGGCATACCCTTACCTCATGCCTCTGTTCTAGCCTGCCCTGGTAACAGCTCATCGCTCCTGCTATGATTGCAGCTGCCTGGGGGCTCACTTGCCTGCTCAGCTTCCTGCCTTAGCAGTCTAGCTCTCCAGCCCTCGCCTGCCTCCCCCTCATCTGCTGCCCTAGCACTCTTTTCAGGTCTTCCCTCTGTCTCATCTCTGCCTCTTGGCATCTTCTTCCCACAGGAGTTAATAGATTTTTGGTAATGCCCTAGATCCCGAGGGGAAAAAAAGTGCTATGGCTCCTGCCTAGGCTGGAGAGCAGGATTCAGGACTTCCAGGAACAAGGGACTCAAACTAGCAGCTCCAACGACAAAGCAGGCTGCCGGCTGGGATTGCACGAAAGGATTTTGTTTGCTTAAGAAAAACTACACTGAGTGTGCAATGGAGAGAGGGGTGCTGGTGCCAGAGAGATTGGGTAGGGTCTGCCAAGGGTCTGTTCTGCCCAGTGTCCCCCGTTCTTGCTTCTCCACTGAGCTGGAGACAGTTATCCTGTGCCTCACATCACCTTCTTACTCCCATCTCTCTTGCCTGGACCCATGTTTAAGGAACCTCTTGAATGTTTGTGCAGGAGGGTTATTTGAGCAGGGCGTGGCAAACTTTCTGTAAAGGCCCAGGCAGCAAATAGTTTAGGCTTCCTGGGCTATACTGTCTCAGTCACAGCTACTCATCTCTGCTGTTGTGGCACAAAAGCAGCCGTGACAATGCAAATGGGCTCGGCTGTGTCCCAGTGAAACTTTCTTTATGGACACTGAGATGTGAATTCCACATTACTTTAATATGTCACAAAATATTCCTCTTCTTTTGATCTTTTTTCTCAATAAGTTAACAATGTAAAAACTATGCTTAGGTCACAGGCCTAAGCTTTTCTTAGCTTAGCAGTGGCAGGCAGGATTTGGCCTGTGGCCTGTAGTTTGCCAATCTCTTTTTTTTTTTTTTTCCTCTTTGTCTTTTTTTTACTGACCGGCAATGGGATCGCAACCCTCGGTGTTGCGCCCGCACCGTGCTCAGCCAGTGAGCGGGAACCGGTCTCCACATGGGATCCGAACCCTTGATGGGAGCGCCGCTGCGCTCCCAAGTGGCGCACTCTCCAGTGTGCCACCGGGCCGGCCCTAGTTTGCCAATCTCTGATTGAGAGTCCAGAGTTTCCAAAACGCGTTCTTCAGGGACATGATCAAATACTTATGCAAATGCTGGGTTAAACAAAGTTAAACGCGTTCCCTCACTCCCTACCAGACTTCTCAAAGTCTTTACTGTTCCAGGAGCATTACACATTTCCGAGAGGGGCTAGCCTGTGCTGGGCTTCTCTAATCAACCTATGAACTCATTTGTTTCACCGAGTGTCTTGCAAGATAAGCATTTCTCAAGACTAGATTCTGTGGAATGTGCTTTGGTAAACACTGCTCCAGTCGATGCCCTCATCTGACACATGGGCAGACTGAAGCCCGAGCGTCTTGCTACTGGAGATAAGGTTAGAGCTCGTGACTGCACGGGCTCTCCTGATGTGCCACACTGCCTGCGTCCCCTGGGTGATGCCAGGCAGAGCAGCACAGGCCCAGGCTAGCCCACTAGGACACTTGGCCCCCCAGCTTTCCAAGCCTGTCCATGCATACACTTCTTTCTTCCTCCTGGTTTCTAGAACCTGAGAAGAGACATATTTTGGTTGAGCCATGGTAATCCTAGGGACTATGAGTGGCTGCATGTCAGGAAACACTCCTCAAATTCCTAGCCCCAAGGGATTAAAAGAGAGATACTTAATCGGTTATTCTTAGCCTCTGGACTACTGTCCCATCACTAATGGGGCATAATTATTGAATTATATTGACAGTAAGGAGACTGGTGTACTACACACAGTAATTATGTATTTGTATGTGTACAGAATTTACAAAGCATCTCTGTGTGTTTCTGTATTTTGCTCCTTACACCTTCTCTCTGGGAAAGGTGGGACAGATTTTTTTTTAAAAAGTTTATAGACGTGGAAACTGTGGCTCAGAGAAGCTAGGAGACTTGCCGTGGGTCACACAGCCAGTGACAGAGCCTGAACTCAGCCCCAGATCTCATCTCACCACAGGGGCTGCTTTCTCCATTGCCCCACTGCCTTATAGGGAAGGTGACTAGTCAGTGAAGCAATTCTCTAGGAAAGCATGACCAATTTCCCTTTCTCCACCTCTCTCCTCTTCCTCCGCCCCCACCAGCCCCCATATATACAAATCTCCACGGAGTCTTGCTTGCCTGCACACCTTTGTTTTTGAAACAACTCCCATGACTGGGACAGAACCCCTCTGGCCACAGCTCAACCCCGATCGGCAAATGGTGGGGGTGTCTGCCCAGCTTCTACCTCTATGAAAAGAAACAGCCACCTCCAACCATTAGCCCTCGAGCATCGCTTACAGGACCCAAGGTGAGCAATGTGGATTCTTGAATAGTTTGCTTTGACGCATGAGACTGTTGCCTGATTTGGGAACAGGAGTCAAGGGAGGATGGCAGAAGTCATCTTTTGAGTGTTTATGCAAGGACAAGACATGACTGTGCACATGGAGCGACTTTCTCCAGTTTAACATCCAGAAGAATTTAGGCTGGATGGGAGGAAAGCCAGGAGGATTATGAGACCCAGAGATGAATTTGCAAGAGAGGCTGCAAAGCTTGTGGAGTTTGAAAAAACAACATGGGAAGACTTTGAGCGAGATGCTGAGGCGCAGACCTGCGTCACAGAGGGTAGTGGGCACAGGCCGCATAGCTGCCCTAGCCCAGATGTTGGCATCATCCCAAAGACATGTCATCTCTGGTCTTCCTGGCCAGTCTAGGAGTGGAGGACAGATACTTCAGGTGTGAGACCAGTGCCCTAAATAAGAAAGGTTCTTAAGTGGCTGTGGGAGGACATGAGGAAGAAAGGAAGGAAGGAAGGAAAGCAAAGGGCAGAGAAGGCACTGGAAAGGAATTCTCAGCATAGATACAATAAATGGATCATGGTGTTAAGTTCCTCTAGCTTAGCAGCTCTTCACACAGTCATCCTCAATTGGCACATTACAGGAAGGTTTTAAAGGTGATTCATCTGGAAATCTAGTTCCTCCCTCTTCTTCCATTGCTTAAAAATGAATTCTTAAAGTCAAGAGTGAGTCGGGTGGTTGAGGTGGCAGAGTGGGTGTGAGCCAACCCTGCCTTCTGCGCCCCTCCTGGGGGCCCGGATCAACCCCTTGGCTCCCTTGTGATGAGGGATCAGGGCTGGCTGCCTCCTGGGAGGAGAAAATGACCCACCTTAGTGTGCCTGGTGACTGGTGGGCAGAACTCAGGCAAGCAAACGTCGACTTCAGCTCTCTATCCTCCCAAGTTTGGGCTCTCTGGACATGTTCTTAGGCACACGAGAAGCTCCCATTTCTTCATTCTTCTCAGTCAAATTCTGACTGGCAGGTTAGAGGCTAGAGAGAACTGTCGTGGACAGGAAAGGAGGTGCAGGGTGTGGATGGGCGTGGTGGGAAGGACAGCTGGAGCAATGGCAAGCCCAGCAGGCACAAGAGGAGGGACACAAAGGCCCCTGCTCCACCCTAGTGCATCTAGCAAGGCCACAGATTTGTAACATTCTAGCCTGGGAACCCACCATAGTCTCATGCTTCCCGTGTGTGTCCCCAAGGTTGGCCTAGGCAGATCCAAGCAGCATTATTCTGGAGTAAATCACTCCTGGACAGAGGGTGCCACCTCAGGGGGATGCCTCCCTCTCTTTCAGCAGGATCCTCCTGTCCTTGCCTGGCTGCAGATGGGCTCTCGAACACAGATGGCTACCCTCCCCTGCCTCGCTCTGATCCTGCTTCTCTGGAGCCAGGTGCCAGGGGTGCAGGGCCAAGAATTCCGGTTTGGGCCCTGCCGAGTGGAGGGGGTAGTCCTCCAGGACCTGTGGGAGGCCTTCTGGACCGTGAAGGACACTGTGGTGGGTAAAGTGTTGCTCTGGACTCAGCCATCGTGGGTTACTGCAGGGAGAGGCTAATGTTTTATGATTATGGAGCCTTCGCGGCTGGCGATTTGGTTTCCTATACGATAACTGTGAGGCCAGAAGGCACCACAAGCCCTGTTGTACACATGAGGAAATTGAGGCTCAGAAAGATGTGGTGGTCAACCTCTAGTAAAATAAACAGAGCCCAAGGGACATAAAGAAGAGAGCTTGATTCACGCAGGCTTCATCTAGATGGACTCTGGCTGCAAAAGCAAGAACTCGAGTGGGCGGCTGCGAGGACGGGAGGCAGCTCCCAGACCGTCCTCCCCACAAGCTCTTCCTCCCCGTGTGGGACAGGGAGGCAAATTCCTGCCCCTAGTTGTTCTTACACCAAATAGGCTCATTTCCTCCAGTCTCAGATGACCAAAGGACTCAAACAGGTCCCTCCTCGTGTCCGCGTTCAGGCTGAGAACTCCTGGGACTCCATTTGTCCCTGGCAGGTGGAGGGCGGGAGTGTCCAGCTTAATAGTTTTTATGGCTGGAACTTGTACCCTCTCCCCAGGGCCAGCTCGGCATAACTCTTCCTGGGTCCTCCTTCGGTCCCCTCCAGCCTCTGAGATCTCTCAAACTGGAGAGATTTAGGGGTCTGGGGAAGCAGCACATAATTGCAGGGCTGGTTTCTATGCTGACTTCTAACTGGAGACATCATTTCTTTCTGTCCCCAAAGCAAGCTCAGGATAACATCATAAGTGTCCGGTTGCTGCGGCGGGAGGTTCTGCAGAACGTCTCGGTAATCAGACCTTGGGGAAGGGTACCACCTCCTTCTGTGGGGCTGATCTACTCTAGTCGGGGTGGGGGTCGTCTTAGGAGGGGCTGATGGAAGCCCTTCATTTCTGCCCTGGAGTGACCCACCCAGGACAGGGCCAGGCAGCGAGCCAGGACAGTCAGTGTCTGTGGTTATTGCTGTGTGTATATGTATGTGTGTGTGTGTGTGTGTGTGCATGTGACAGCATGGGGAGGTGTGGGCATTGAGGCTTGTGAGCATCTTTCTCCATTTAGCCAGAGCTGCCACTGATCTTTTGCTTGTGTAGTGTCACCTCCCATCTCCCATCTCCATCCTTCGCTCTCACCCAGTACTATCTTCCCATCGCCCAGCCATAGTCAGTCAGTGAGCATAAATGTACTGAGCCCTGATCCCTGATCCCTGAATGGTGCTCAGCTTCCAAAGCTTGAGGGGACTTGAGTGCAATTGCTGTGTTCGAGGACATTTGTTTTCTTTTCTCCGCATTTCACCTGCTCCTAGTCATTTTCCTGCCAACTGTCAACCACCAAGTCCAAGTTCAAGTGCTTTTCAGGGCTCATCTCCTCCCCATAGCTATTAGAAAGGCTGTGTGGCATAGAAAAAAGGGACTATTAACCAGATGGACATTCAGGAGTCCTGGGAATGAGGACTGTGCCTGTCACTGACTGGCTGTATCTCCTGGGCTCTACATGGCTCCTGAAGGCCCCTTCAGATCTAATGTTTATCATCATCTCCTAGATAGTCTCTACCTCCACTGTGCTTATCTTGCCTTGGGTGGCATGTGGGCTGTTCCTCCAGGGGGCTGGGTAGGCACAGGCCTCAGCTCCGCAGTGACCCGACTCTCTGCAGGATGCTGAGAGCTGTTACCTCATCCGTGCCCTGCTGAAGTTCTACTTGAATACCGTTTTCAAAAACTACCACAGTAAAACAGTGGAAGTCAGGATCCTGAAGTCACTCTCTACTCTGGCCAACAACTTTATCGTCATCGTGTCAAAACTGCAACCCAGTGTGAGTAGAACAGAGCAGGGACTAGGAGCCCCAGGAAATGGTGTGTTTTGAGAATGCTCCTCTCCTCTTATCTGCTTATCCTGGCTTCTACTTCACAACAAGGGAGTCATGGGTGTCCTGGAAAAGAGCACAGGCTCTGGACACCAGCAGTTCTGGGTTCAAGTCTAGCTCTGCTTCTAATCAGCTGGGTGACCCTTTGCAAGGTGCTCAACCTCTCTGGGCTTCAGTTTTGTTATCTGTAAAGTGAGGATGCTCACTTCTACCTGGTGGGATTGGTGTGAGAATTAAGGAAGGCACCCCCTGCTACATGGTCGGAGTTCGACATTGGCTACCTTGAGGATGCAGGATTCAGCCCTGTACTCTCAGGCCTTTGGAGACCTTCTGGAATCACCAGGAAGACTAGGAGGGAATGTGCGTCTGCTCCTGCCTGACACTTGGCACAACTTTCTTTTTCTGTTATGCAGCAGGAAAATGAGATGTTTTCCACCAGTGAGAATGCGCACAGGCGGTTTCTGCTGTTTCAGGGAGCATTTAAACAGGTAAGGCCAGGAGCTGAGAGCTTGCCCGTCCAGCAGAAATAGACTTCCTTAAATTGTCATATAAGGGTGCCTCAGAGACTTAATGCAGAAATTTAATGCAGGTGACTCCACCAGGCTTTCCCCAAAAGCCATCTGACTTAGCAGGAGCACAGGTATATTTGCATACATTAGCATATATTTTGTATAAATATTGCAAAGTAAGTTTCCTTCTAGTTTTCAAGTTAAAATGCTATATTTCCCTACAAGATGATTTCACTATCAGGGACTTTCCTTGGGAGAGAGCTTTATGATACTTGAGCTGGACAACTGAAGTCAGAAGTGGGGAAGGGAGAAGGGAGATGCCCCCCGCCCATACATATCCGCAGTATTTTCCTTAATACACAAATGGTCTAGAAAAATTATGGAAAATAATATTACTTTTGCCCAAACTAAGAACAAAGAAATCCAAATCTTATCCCCAGCTCCTCTCCAAACATATGTGATTTTGATCATTTTTCCAAGAAACAGATACATCAGTCTATAAATAAATGATGAAGACCAGTAATGTACTACAGAAAGGGGTCACTTGGCCTCATTTCCCATTTGCACTGGGGACTCAGGTGGGGGGACGCATCCACCACGCTGGATTCCATGGTTTCTGCTGTTGGCACCAGATGCTCTTCCCTTGACCTTTGCTGACTGCCAGTCACTGGGTCCTCACCCAATGAAGTAAACAAACACATAGATGGGGACAAGTGATGAGCACGTGGATTCACAGAGGCCATCCCAAAGGTGACCTAGCCCATGATTTGGAGCCAGGCCTGTTTCAGGCATGGAAAGTTGGAGGGAAAACTATGCTCATAGCTAACATGGCTGACCTTCTACTCTCCTTTCTCTTTAGTTGGACATAGAAGCAGCTCTGACCAAAGCCTTTGGGGAAGTGGACATTCTCTTGACCTGGATGGAGAAATTCTACCAGCTCTGAATGCCTAGACCAGGATAACCTCCTCATTCATTTCTGTATCATTTAGGACAGGTGTCCCTTCCTCTGCTGTTCTCTGGGCATTTCATACCCTTGGCCCTAGGTTCCATTCTTGGACCAGGCGTGTCTTCAAAGACGTCATTCTTTCAATAGCCCCAACGACAGTCATGGAAGACTCATTTGGATGCTGTGAATGATCTACAAAGTGGATTCCTGTATTTATTACAACTCTATTTAATTACTGTCAGTGTTTCAACTGAAGTTATATTTATTTGTGAGACTCTAAGTTCCATGAAGTCATCAGAACACAGTGCCCTGTGCTTTTCTTGTATCCCCCATGGTCCTTGCCACAGTGTGGGGCAGTGGATGGGGGCTCAGTGAACATTTAATAAATCATATTTTTTGCGTGTTTGTGGATTGTTGAGGAACAATGTTGCTAGGATATGAAATTGAACTTTAGGGCATGGAAATAACATTGTCTTATAATATCTGCAGGGACAGAGCACCGGGGTGGGGGAGAGGGGCGCCGGTTTGAAAAGGAAACAATGAAAGATAAAATGTAGGTTGAACTGTCCGGCACAAAACGGATTCTCACTGAGCATTTCATTTCCCGCACCCACTCCTGCGCCCACCCCCACCACCCCTTTTCCTTAAGTGCCTTCCTTTTCCTGTCTTATTCATTCTTCTCCTATCTGCCATGTGAGAGAGTGCCAGTGTCAAGCTGACCTTGCTGACGGTGTCATTGTACCTGGATGTACCGTCCAACCTGTGATGACACTTCCTGATAATAGAAGGCAGCACAACTCAAGTCTGGCAGCCTTTCCTTTCTATTTCTGGACAAGCGCCCAGTAAGGCTGTGTCTTGTATCTGGAAAAATTCTCTAGCTCTGGCTGAACTTCGTAGTTGACATCAATCCCAAGATATAGTGTCCAACTCTGACCTTGCTTCTATGTAACTGTCATCAATCCCAAGGGGTAATGTTCAACTATCACCTTGGTTCAAAAATGTAAGAGAAAGAGCATAGGTAGGGGGTGGGATAGCTCTTCTTCCATGACAGAAGTCCTGCAGAGCCCCTGGCCCTCCAGGAACCCCAGACTGCTTTCCTTCCCCACCTCGCCATAGGCTGTCTGGAACTGGCAATGACATGGGGTCCACTTCTGACAGCAGAGAAATGTAATGGTTTTGGACGACTAAAATAGGCCAAAGTTAACATAAGTGCACAAATATTGGGGCTAGGCTACAGAAGAAGGATAAGGAGATGACAGACGATTTCTAAAAGAGGGGAGATGCAAGGGTCAGGGTACTTATGTGCACCAAGTGAGGGAGACTTACAGCAAAGAGGACTTATGGATATATATGTATATCTCACTAACACAAACAAGCTTTGTTCTGAAAATTTAGAATACCCCATCACATCAAAATTAATTGCCCTTACCAAAGGACTAGAGATAAGTAGAAGCTAACTAGCGGCTGCCTGCCTTTGGATCAGGGCAAAGATGTTCCCAGGGGTGTTTTCATACCAGGCTCCTATCTTATGGGTGTAGCTCAAGGGCTTTCTATGAGAGTACTTCAAAGAGTTCATGGAAAAAAATTGTATTATCTTCCAATTCTATTTTTCCATGAACTTTTAAAAGTACGCTCATACTTGTGTGAGGCTCCTGAAGCAACAGCTAGGCCTATGCTCCAGCCTGATGCCACATGATCTAGAACCAGGGCAGCAAAGACACAGTGACCAAAGACATTGAGGAAACTCTCTGCAAATCCCACAGCCTGTAAAATGTGATGGAAAGGAGGCAAGCGGCGTTGGGACAAATTCTTTGTATGCCCAGAGCCCACTGACAACCACAGCGAGCTGGAAAAGTGTGCAAGAGGAACTCGGGACAGAGCCATGCTCAGGGCACAGGCAGATGGGGGTGAGAGTCCAGACAGGGCATGGGAGGTAATGAGGGCTCCAAGAATAGATGGAGCAGGTATCAGAAATCAACAGACAGACAAGACTCATTGGCACCAAGGTCTGGGCCCAGGGGACATCTGGGTAGGTGAGTCAGGCTGGGAATATTGATGTAGTCATCTGAATCATTGTCCTCCATCGTGGCAGCAGGCTGGTGGTAGAAGCCCACATATTCATAGCCGGTCTTTAGAGATGGGGCTGGGAGCCAAGGACCTTCAGACACCTGGGAACAACCAAAGAAGCATCACTGGACCTGAATAGGGTGATTTTAGTATCTCTCCAGCTGGGTTTCCACAGCAGAGAGTGGAGGGTATGGGCCTGGTTGCTGAGTTCCAGAAGGCAAAGACACAGACATGACTGAACTCCATTGAGTGGGCTAGCCCTGGGGATTTCAGAGTGATGTCTCACCCGAGGTAACTGGAAAACATTTAGATGTAATACAGGCAGGAAATGCCTTAAATGAGGCTCAGACTGAAATCATGTGGCTAAGCACAGGTGTGAAGGAGACCCAGCTGCCAGAGAACTATCCCTTCAGGGATAAGATGATATGACCGTGGAATAAATATGCATCTTTTTAGGGAGTTATTCAGAAATAGGGTGAGTCACCCCTTGAGCCCCTGGAAGGGTTCAGAGAGGCAGGCTGTGACGTGACATGACAGGGCATTCCAGGAATGGGCTGGGTGGTGAAGGGGAGGAGGATGGCATACCATGTGGGTACAGTGGTGCTCCTCTTCCTAGACAGAAACTTCAGGATCATCTACCTTCAGGATAGCCAATTCTGGGAGAACAGGACTGTGCCAATGACCCAGCATGGCACAGTTACGGTGACATCCACTGATAGGCCATGGTGGGGATCTCACGTTTTTAAACACAAGTTCTGAGAACTGGAAGGCAGTACTCTGAACATAGCAGGCATTCAGTCAGTGCTCTCTGAAAGGAACTTTTACATTTTGTACTTTACAAAGAGGGAAGCAGCAGCAGCTTGCTTCAAAAATACATCTCCCAACGTTTTTAAACACAAGTTCTGAGAACTGGAAGGCAGTACTCTGAACATAGCAGGCATTCAGTGAGTGCTCTTTGAAAGGAACTTTTACATTTTGTACTTTACAAAGAGGGAAGCAGCAGCAGCTTGCTTCAAAAATACATCTCCCAAAGCCTGTTACAGTTCATCATTTGAGACTAATTTACTTGGCTTAAAAAAATGAAAATACTCCCTGTGAAGGCTAAAAGAATCAGCCATTAGGTATACGCACTGTGCTGTAAATTTGTTCCATCAAATTTTTTGCCTAATAGTGGGAATGAGAATTTCAAATAGGGAGGTATGGTAAGCTTTGAGCAAGGTACAGGCCGAGGTGAGGGTTTGTGTGGTCACAGGGCAGTTCCAGAGAAAAGGGCTGGTGGAAGGGTAGAACGGACAGGCCCTGTTGGGTCATTCCTAAGCTGATGCCAACCTTGTCTAGCAGGGGTGGGTAAGAGCAGGCTCGAGAAGGTGGAGGTGACAGTGGCAGAGTTGCTACTTGTTGCTGAGTATCATTCTCTGCTTCTTAGCAAGGCACATGACTGCCCAGCCAGGGCTATCAGCCTCCCTGGAAGGCAGGTGTCACACGATGAACTTATGGCCAGTGGGATGTGAGTGGAAGTGATAGGTGAAACTTCAGGGTCACAGTCTTAAAGAAGCAGCTTTCTCTTTCTCCCTCCTTGGGCTGGAATGTGCAATGTGACTGAGTACTGACCATGGGCTATGCAAGACTCCAGGGGACTCTAACAAGACAGAAGGAACTTGAGTCCCTGGATGACCTTGTGGCTCAGGCCATCTCTTCCCGTCCCTCTGCCTGAGTTTTACTTGAGGGGAAAATAGGTTTCCATCTTGTGAGCCCTGTGTTCTGGAGTCTGTTGCATTAGCTTCGTCTACACTAATTAAAACAGGGATATTTGGCAGTCTTTCTCTGGTTCCTGAGGTAATGGTGTTTTAGCCATTGTGAGCTATGAGAATAAAATATTTCCTCTTCTTACTTTGGAAAAACAAAGATGAGTAGGTAGTTTAAAGTCTTTTTGCCATCCATCAATGGCCAATGACGGAAACCCAAGTCCCCTACATCTGTTCCTAGATTTAACGATGACCCCAAATCACCCACAACGTTGAATCCTGTCCACATCTCTGCCAGGTCATCCTCTGGACCAGGCCTAACTGCCTCCAGTGATGGGTAAATGGCCTCTCATCATAGAGAGTGTACTAGAAAGTTCTCCCTCACATTAAGGTGAAACTAGGTGGCTTCCACTCCCTTAGGACCTCCTGAGAATCTAATCTCTTACACGTGAACCCCCTACACGTCCTTGCAGTTACATCTGCCATTCTCCACTAAGCTGCCAGCGTCCAGCACGCATTTATCCCGTGAGAAATGCTTGGCCGAAAGCCATGCACCTGAGTCCACCACCATTCCTGGGTAGTCTCCTGACGTTATCACAGGAGAAAACCTCACAAAATTATTGGAAATATTAAATGAGTTAGTTTCTTGAAACTTTGGAAGACAGATGTTTTTCTCACAGTGCTGCCTCTGCCTAGAAGGTCTCCTCTCCATTTTCTCTACATATCGAAATCCTCCTTCCTTAAAGGGACTGTGTAAGTCCTCTTTTCTTCCCCAAACTTGGCAAGCCAAAATCAATTTTTTTGTGCACTGTGTTCTTAATTCTTATTTTCATGCCTATTACAAACCTGATCACAGTCAGACCTGTGTTAGTAAGTCCTGAATATTGCATGTTTTTATCTTTTCACATCTTCAGAACATAGCACAATGCCTGGCACATGGTAGAGACTAACAGTGGTTGGTTGAATTTACTTGACATCTTCTCCAATAGTAGGTAGCTTGGTGTGATTTACTGAATTAGGAGTCCTGATTATATTTGAAACCACTTAGCTCACATGGCCCCGGTTTCCCCATCTATAGAACCCAAATGATGTTGGAGGTTCCTTTCCTCACTAACATGTTTGTCTTTGCTTAGGCACAAATAATTCCAATTACTACAGGTTGTCTTTGGAGTATGCTATAATGCTGCCCCCTAGTGGTCCATTGCAGTACTTCCCTGGACTGCACCCCGGCCTTTAGACGAGTGCTGTCCAATATAGAAATACTATGCGATCACAGATGTAATCTTAAATTTCCTAATAGCCACATTAAAAAAGTAAAAGGAAAGAGGTGAAAGTAATTTTAATATTGAATAGAAGAATAGTTCATTCTAATTTTATTCTCGTTTAGTTCTTCCCATCAAAACAGGTTTGAATGAATCTGAGTTACTGAAAGACTTGGGTCTCTTTCTACAGTGTCAATGCTGGGACATAGACAAGATATTCTTGTTAATGGCACTAATGAGTTAATGTGCTATACTCATAGGTAGTATATTTCACAGTGGCCTTCTAGAGACAAAACCAAGAAGGTCTCTAATAGTGGACATTGCAGGAACATTTCAGTGGGTCTCCTAACTCTAGCCTACCTTGCCTGGGTTCCAGCCCTTCCTGAACTGTGGAGGCCTCTTACCTCTGCCTGTGCAGCCTGGTGTGGTGGTTGTGGCTGGCTGGCTGGGGCCTGAGCAGTCCCTCCCGAGTTGGGGTCTTTGAAGCTGTGGTGGATGGCAGTAGGGTTGAGGGATTGGCAGCTGGTACTGAAGATGCTCTGGAAACTCGAGGGTAGTGTCTGATTGGGGTGGTGGGGGAGGTGTGGTTGGCTGGAGGGGCCTCTGTCCTTCGAGCTGGTGTGGTAACTGCAGGAGACAGAAGGAAAAAGTGACCTCCCATATATACACTCTAGTTTCCAGCAGGATTGGGTCACCATCGCTTTTCTCAATACACTCTTCCCTTTCACCCAGACTACCTTTATTCTTGCAGTCCTCATGGCCTGAAACGGCTTCTGAGCATGTGATAGATACCTAGTCAATTCTATATATATATTTGCTTCAGATACCATTTCCTCCAGGAAGCCTTTCATGACTTCCTAGGCAGAAGCGCTTGCCCTCCCCTGGACAGGGGGAAGGCTTTGTTTGTAGTTCTATTCCCACTCTGTCTTGTGCTATTTTGTGTGGTTATCTGTTCTCCCCCATCCCATACCTATCAGTCACAACCTTGGTTAAATGATTTGCTCAGTTACACTGTCCCTCTTGGTACCCAGCAGGATCCCCTTGTGTAATTAATGTATCGACCTCACAGGGTATATGTAAAGATATGATGAAAATATTGCACGTCAAAATGCGTTTAAAACTGGGAAATGATATAAAAATGTAAAGTTATTGCAATATAACAGAATAGAGAGCCCAGAAATAAACCCATGCATTTATAGCCAACTGATTTTCAATGAAGGTGCCAAAAATGTACACTGGGGAAAGGACAGCCTCTTCAACAAATGAGGAAACTGGGTGGTGGGAAAACTGGATATCCACATGCAGAAGATTGAAACCAGACCTGTATCTCTCACCATACACAAAAATCAACTCAAAATGGATGAAAGACCTAAATTTAAGACCTAAAACTATGAAACTGCTAGAAGACAACATAGGGGAAACACCATACGAAACGGGAGTGGGTACACTACGAAAGGCACAGGGAACTAAGGCAAAAGAAAAAAAAAAAGACTACATCAAACCAAAAAGTTTCTGCACAGCAAAATGAAGAGATGAACTACAAAATGGGAGAAAGTGTTTGCAAACTACATATCAGACAAGGGGCTAATATTCAGAATATATAAGGAACTCAAACAACTCAACAGCAAAAAAACAAAGCAATTAAAAAAGGGCAAAGGAACCTGAACAGACATTTCTCAAAAGAAGACATGCAAATGGCCAACAGACCCATTAAAAACTGCTCAGTGGGCTGGCCCATGGCTCACTTGGGAGAACACCAAGGGTACGGGTTTGGATCCCTATATAGGGATGGCCGATTAGCTCACTTGGGTGAGCGTGGTGCTGACAACACCAAGTCAAGGGTTAAGATCCCCTTACCGGTCATCTTAAAAAAAAAAAAGAAAAAAGAACAAAACTGCTCAATATCACTAATCATCAGGGAAATGCAAATTAAAACCATAATGAGATACCACCTCACTCCAGTTAGAATGGCTATTATCAACAAGACAGAAAATAATAAATGCTGGCGAGGATTCAGAGAAAAGGGAACCCTCCTACATTGTTGGAAGGAACATAAGTTGGTACAGCCACTGTGGAAAACAGTAGACAGTTTGAAGCTTCCTCAGAGAACTAAAAATAGATCTACCTGACAACCCAGCTATCTCACTGCTGGGTCCCGCTACTCGGTATATATCCAAAGGAAGTGAAATCAATATGTCAAAGAGACTCCTGCATGCCCACATTCATTGCAACACTATTCACAATAGCCAAAAGAAGGAATCAACCTAAATCCCCATCAACTGATGAATGGATTAAAAAAACCCTGTGCTATGTATACATAATACGATATTATTCAGATGTATATATATATATATATTTTTTTTTTTTAAAGAAATCCTGTCGTGTGCAGCTACATAGATGGAACTATAGACCATCATGTTAAGTCAAATAAGCCAGGCACAGAAAGACAAATACCACATGAACTTACTCATATGTGAAATCTAAAAAAAGAAAAAGATAAAAAAGGTGGTTCTCATAGAAGTAGAGAGTAGAATAATGGTTACCAGAGGCCAGAGCGGAGAGAGGGTGGGGCAGGGGGGTGGGAGGGGAAGTGGTGGGTTAACGGCTATGAAGCTCTGCTATCTACCCTAATTGGACCAGTGTGCACTGCATGCATGCATTGAAACAACACGCTCTTCCCCAGAAATATGCACAATTAAATGTTAAAATAAAAATAAAATAAAAGAAATGTAAAGGTATCATACGATCATCATTCATCATTTAATTGCTGGATAGAGTTATTAAAATCACTAGATGCCAGCAGGTAGAAGACAGCCCTGTGAGGAGCAGGAGGCATGATGACCTCCAGCTGGGAAACGTCTGCCCAGTGTTGGTTTCCTTTGTCATTCATTAAAAAGCTAGATTTTTGTGAATGGAGCGCAAACTTTGTTACTGGTGGTGCCACCTGGTGGTAATGTTTAGGTTCTGCAGTGAGGGCTGGATGTCCTGGCTGCAGGATAGGTTTGAAGGATATGGAAAGCAGATCTCAGGGAGGTTCACGTTCCCAAGGCAGGGAAACACACATCTGAGACTCAGCTCTGCTTTGCGAGCCACCCTATGAACAGGACACACACACCGTCCTCCATTTTCACAATGCCACAGCATCCCCTACCTCTCCCACCCTTGCTTTGGTGAACTGACCTTTGGATATGAATTCAGAACTGGCACGTGCAGACATCTGCCAAAAGGGCATCCGCAGGCGCAGAAATTTTTGAAACAATTTTGGAGGCTCAGGTGTCGGCTCCTCTTCCCAGAATGGCTCATACTCTGTTGGAAGCAAGAACATGTTGGTGGTCTCTAGGGGGAGACTGAGGCTTGGGGAAGGGACTGCTGGTGTACACTGAAGCTGAGTCAACCAGGGTGGATGGCAGTGACGGGATGAAGACAGAGTCCACTGAGAGGAGTGGAAAAGGGACTGGGCTGGGGCTTCCCCTAAAGAAATATCCTTTCCCCTGCCTCAGTCAATATTCCCTGCAAAACCATCAGAGGCCATTGGGATTATAGGCTGTTGAATTAGTGCTGCATGTGTGTAGGGAAGTCAGTGAAGAAAAGCAGAAAGGCAGGATTCAAGAGAAATAAAGGATCAGACCATCAAGTAACAAGTGTGGCCTACAAATATAGCTTAATAAATGAGTGTCTTCTTTTTATATTCATCCCTGACCTTTCTCATGGGACAATTATGTCCTTTTGCTTCCCATTTCTTCCAGTCTCAAAGCCTCTCCTCTATCTGAAGTCCCCGTTCCCCTCATGCCCTGGGTAGGATAGGCAGCAAGAGAGCTCCTAACTTGTTCCTTTCTTCCACTTTGGACAGAACATTCCATGGACCACAAAGTTAATTGACTATGAGGTTTCAGCTATGTAGATTGCTGAAAATTATTATTGGACTGGCTATTATGGCAATAGCATAAAAGTTTGGGGGACTGTTAGATGGCTGTCCCAATATTCCTGAGTGGAAATGTTTCTGGGTGGTCTGAGCCTCCGGTCAGCCAGCTGTGGCACCTACCATTGTGGACACTCAGGGTGACTTGCAGGGTCTTGGCCCAGTCTTTGTTCACGCCCACCCCACAGGCGTAGACTCCGCTGTCACTTTTGCTCAGTTTTGTCGCCTCCACTAGGAACAGACTCTTGTCTTGGCACAGCTCCAGACTGACGCGGCTCCTGTATTCCTCTTTGACAAAGTTGTTGTTGGACACCACGGTAGCACACACTCCAGATTTAGCCATCTCCCGGCACAGATATATTCTCACGTTCATTACAGGAAGTGGGCACTTGATGAGAACTGATCCGCCCAGCTCTCCCTCCAGCTTTACTTCTGGGAGGCTCCTCAGACCACCAGATACTGAAAGAAGAGGGAGTTAATGCAGAGAAAGCCTCACCTCCAGCTATATCACAACCCCAGCCACATCTCCAACCCTAGCCCAGGCCCCAGCCCAGCCTCACATGCATCCCAGATCCAGTCCCATCCCGGTTATCAGCCCAGCCTCAGCCAGCTCTTAGCTCTATCCTGATGTCCACTCTTAGACTCATCCTCCGCTCCTTCCTGTCCCCAACCCTATTCACAACCGCAGACCAGATCTATGTCCACCCCCAACCCTATGCCCAAGCCTTACCTTAACCCTCAGCCCCAGCCCAGGCCTCATCACCAAACCCAAATCCGTAAAGACCCAGACACCAAACTCCTGAGAATCTAGTCAAAACAACGACACCCACTCCAAGGAGACTTAAGTTGCCTGGGTGACCCCAAAGCAACTTGAGCGTAGTGTTGGGAGGCATGGTATGGTTATGCTGCAAGAGATTTTCCTTTCCAGTTTTGTTTTGCTCAGATCCATTCATCCAACCATTTATCCACAGTTCTATTTATTAAATAATACAACAAATACTTATTGAATACCTTTCATTTGATAGCAAGATAGCCGGTATCCCTCCCTCGCAGAAGACATCATTTAGTGAGTAACACCAGTAGACAGCCACTAGAGCACAGTGAAACAAATCCCATGACAGAGATGGCATGGGGTTCCTTAGAAGGAGCGAGCAGAGGAGCCTCATCCAGGCTGTTGTGGGGGGATGGTGTCATTTGAGGAAGGCTTTCTGGAAGAAGCGATGTCTAAGTTGTTACCTGAAGGAATGGGAACAGAGAGCACCTGACAGAATGACGATGCTCACCACTGAGGTAGAGAATGAGGAAGGAAAGCCAGGGTGTGTATGAGTGTGTGCGCGTGTGTACACAGGTGTGCACACATTGTATGTTTGTTGGGAAGGGTGTGGAGTAGGGAAGGATAAAGGATGTGGTTCATGAGTCCCTGACATCAAAAAGCTTATGCCTTGGGTGAGAGAGGAATGTCTAATGCAGTTGAGCCATCTGCAGAAGAGGGCAAGGCCATGCATGAGTAATTGTCCACTAAGTGGGTCCCAAGAAGTGTCTGCATCCTTCTGGGAAGAGGGTTCATAAGGTAATATGTATGTGTGTGTGTTGGGATGGGGCTAGAAGTCTGGGACAGAGGACAAGAGAGACTTCCAGATAGATGGAACAGTCCCATAAAGGCTGGGGTGTGAGAGAGGACGTAGCAGGTCCATGGGGGGAGAGAAGTTCACAAAACGTACTGAAACTTATTCACAGACCGTACATGAAGAACAGCACCAAGGGCTTTAGTCAAATAACAGTCAAGGAAAGCTTCAGGAAAGAGGTGGGGGCTGGAAGCTTCTGGATAAGGATGTTCCAGGTAGAGGGAAGAATGTGGACAACAGTAAAGAGGTAGAAACAATCATGGAAACAGAGATGGAGGTTAGGGGAGGGCGGGGAGGGCCTGGAGAGGGAGCATTTACAGGAGCATGTTGGGATCTAAAAGTGTGGCTGACGTTAACGTGGTAGGGAGAGGCAAGGGGCCAGTGAGACACAAGATCTGACGTGGAACCCCCCACGTGGAAAACCCAACACTGCTTAAAACTCGCTGGAAATTGAGTCATGAGGAAGCCTCACGACTGGAACCCATCAATGGAAGCATTACTGGTCACAGAGTCCCAATCAAAGGACCAAGTCCCAATCAAGGGTGTTGGGGAATCACCTTGTGCCTCCAGACAGCCCAGCCCACAACTTTGTGGAAAGCTGGACACGGAGGGTGGGGAGCATGTAAAGGTGTTTGAATGAGACTAGCCCAGCCAGAAAGGGGGCCTGAAGGCTGCCTTTGCAAGAGCAAGATGTTATGAAATGGACCAGGGCAAGACAGAGCAGAAAGGGGGGTCATCATCTGTGCAGACAGCTCCTGCGGCCTCATTCTGCTCAGGGTTGAGCTTTTGGTAAGTTCCTGGCTTGCCCAGATCCTCCTTGCTCCAATGCTGGATGGATGAAATTCAAGGAAAGCTGCTGAGTCTGGGCCCCGGCCAATAATATATAATTGGATGTTAATGCATGTTTGGAACATGGGGAAAAAACCCCTATGATTTTCATATTGCAGAGTAAGGTAAAGTCCACAGAGCCTTGGCGCTGGGGATGCCCTGGAGACAGACTATTAGTGGTGATTTTCTAGGTAGGAGTGGAGCTGAGATCTGATCAACTCAAGTCAGAGCAGAATCTTGGGGAGAGGAGAGTTGGCCTGAGATTTTCGTGTTTATTGAAAGGAGCATGGAACTTTTTCCAAAAAGGATAAAAAGAGTCCCACTCAGCTTTCCACTTCCATACACAGCAACGACCTAGGTGTGTCCAGCCTGCTGCGTGACCTTTGTCCTGTCACAATGAATGGTGCCCCCTGCCCCCAAAACCAGTCCCTCCTTCTGTGTCCTGAATCTATCCTTCCCGCCTGTTCTAGAATTCCTCTGCTGTTACGCCTCTTCTCTCCCCGCACCGTTGGTTTTTCCTTCTCTGCTAGCATTGCCATAGCTTACGCCCATGCTCTGAGTCTGCCTGTCTTTAAAAACCTCTCTATTGACCTTTGCCTCCCCTCCACCAGCTGATCGCCTTCTCTGTTACCTCTCAAATGAGTCATCAAATTCCCTAAATCGATTCGCTTCCACACCTCCCCATTTCTCTTCAATCTACTCCCATCAGAAGTTTGTCTCCAAGATTCCACTCAAACTGCTCTTGCCGAGGTCATCAACGTTGTCTTGTTGCCACACTCAGCGGTCACTTCTTTGTCGTCTTTTACTCTACCTCTCTGTAGCAGTTGACAGAATCAAGCCCTGCCACCTTGCAGCACTGTCTCATCCTGGCTCCCTTACACCGTACACTCAACGGTGCTGCTCTTCAGTCTCTTCCCTGCCCCTTCTCCAGCCACCTCTCAGTGTTGGGCCAGCTCAGGGCCTGGTCCTTGGGCCTGTTCTTTTCTCTGTCCCTCTTCCCTCTCTCCTCTCGCCAGCTCATTTCCTCCCATGGCTTTTCATGCCGACTCAGTCTTTTCTTTACCTCTGAGCTCCAGACTTGCCTCTCCGACATCTCCACTTGGACTCCACTTGAATATATAAAAAGTAGTCCAAACACACAAAAGCCAAAAAAGAACTCTTGATTTCTCTTCCAAAACCTGTCCTTCACATACTCCTCCAATGACACCACCATCCACCCAGCTGCCAATGCCCAAAACTCATCCTCATATTAAAGGATCAGGTGGGAAAGGGGGAGGGGGTTAGCGAGAAGTTGATTAATGGACACAAGAAATGATCATGTTTTGTAATGATGAACATGCTAATTATCCTGATTTGATCATCACACATTGCACACAGGTATTGATATTCAACTCTTTACCCCACAGGTATGTAGAATCAATTATGCTTCAATAAAAAAAAAAAAGAATCAAGAATAAATTTTAGTTGTGTGAGTGTGTATATATTGGGTCACAACATCATGTGTATGTATCATTATAATAATAATTATTATGGGTCAAGGTTGAAAAGGTTTGAAAGGCCATGCTGTATGGTACCATCTTGCTTTATTACGGAATGCCACAGAGGTCCCCTGGCAGTGTGGCCCCCAGCCTGTGCCTCATGTACTGGGGTCTGGCGGCCAGGCCCACCCCAACATTTTCAGGACCTGGAGCAGAAGTACAAATAAAAGCCCAAATATCATATGTCTAAATATTTTTAAGTGATAAATAAAGCTAATAAACTGTTGCAAAGAATGTTTTATTCCACTATCTTGGCCAATTTACACAGTCCTTGGAAGTCTACTGTAAAACATAGCTATGCAGGAAAAAATGGCTCCAGGCTTCCTGACCCCAGCCTCTGCCTGTCTCCCTTCTCTTTGCGTTTCTGACTCTTGCCCACACCACAGGGGACCTGGTGTATACATAGTAGGTATCCCAGCTTGCAGATACAGGCTCCACACACATCTCCTCCTTCCCCAAATCTACCTGTGTCCATCTTGTATAAGCAGAGGGGTCAACCTCAAAGGAGAGATGCAGGATAGAAGCTCGCATAGTCATTGAAAATGGACCCAGAGTCATTTGAACAGGGAATTCCAGGTCTAGAAGAGGGGGCGTGGGTATGGGCTTGGGGTGAGCACATCTTCTTGAGACTGCAGACTCCTTACCCTGTGGGGATGGGCATGACTGGGGAAGGATGGGGCCCAGAGTAGGGACCCCGCTGGCCCTGCTAGAATGGTGGTGCTGCTCGGGACAGACCGAGGTGGTTCTGTTTAGGTACTTTTCACTCCTTTAGATCTGCTACTCCCCATCCAACCCCTTCTCCTTCTCAGGCTCAGTCTAGTTAGTCATCCACTGTGCACAGGTAAGTCCTACTACCCTCATAGAGTCTGACAGCTCATCAAAACTCCATTCCTTTGGGCATTTAGGTATCTCCAATCTTCAACTCAATAAATATTTGAGTTTCTTCCATCCTCAAGACATCACATAGAAAGAAAATACGAATAAGAAACCATTTGGACCTTCAAGGAGCTTTTCATTTAATAAAACAAATAAGATGGACACACTTCAACCCAGAATACAAGGCGGAATGTGATCAGCTACTGGGGCTCAGAAGAGGAGCCTCAGGAAAGTCTACAAGAAGGAGGTGGAATTTGAAATGAATTTTGAAGAGCCTGTAAAAGGTAAAGGTGAGAGGAAGTGTGTTCCTGGCAGAAGGCACAGCATGAGCAAGGGCGTGGTGGCAGGAACGTGTGGCGTATATTCATGGGGATGTCCTGTTTGTCTGGAAGCTAGGAAAGTGCAGGGAGTGTGGAAAACTCAGAGTGTAAACAGTCAGTCCGAGGGAGGAGTGTGTATTTCACTCAGTAGGCAGTGGGAGCCATTGAAGGTTTTTGGGAAGGGCAATCCAATGATTAGAATCAAGCTTTAGGAAACAGATGTGGAGCTGCTTGCAGGCTGAGTTGGAGGATGTGCAAAAGAGATTTAGGAGGTGATCGTGAGCTCCTTTCCTCTCCATTTCTTCTGTTGCCTCCCTAGTAGAGACTGCACTTCTCGTCCCAGTACATGAGGGTCTAGAAACTACATGAACTGGCCATTGATTGGATCAAGGTCCAGGTGAGGATAAATAGGAAGAGGTGGTGAAAAGCCATTCTGGCATTTCGTGGCCGATGTCTGAAAGACAGACAGGATAGCTGGTTTGGATGGCGACCTGTGAGGAGTTTGAGGTAAGTTGTTAGGCAAGTAGCATTTCAGATCCTGGTGGCATACGGAAATGAAGGTGGCCAGAAGACCATTGTAAATTGAGGTATGGAAATCAGGAAACAGATTAGGGTTACTGAACGGATTACTGAGTCTTCATTTATAGTTGAAAGTTGGAAATTCAGAAGTAAAAAAGATCTAAAGAAAGAGAATGTAGAAGAACTTGGGAGGCACCTGCTTCGAGATCCCATTAATAGGCAAATATGTCAAGGAGAGGGGACACCTTCAGCCCTTAACCTGATCGGAAGTGTCTGCCCTAGGTACTGGTTTGCCAGTGAATCTGTCCAGAAACATCAGAGCTGGAGATGCCGGGAAACTCCCCTACCTGTGGCCAATCCAAACCTCACAGGAAATCTGAAGTGCCTCCGCACAGCACTTACCTGGCAGGAAGTAGAGTGACCAAAGCAAGAGGTCCATGGTTCCTTCCAGAGCAAGGTCTCACCCAAGAGGCCCTGGAGTGGGGGACAGAGACCCACTGCTCACCAGGAGCTCTCACAATCTGGAGCTTGAAATAGACTTCTGACCCCACGAGGAGCAAGGCTTCAAAATGAGGAAATGACAACCTGTCTTGTTTGCTAACTAGTGTTCGACTAAAAAAAGAAAACACCAGCAAACCACAGCGGAAGTCAGAAGCTGAGAAAATTACATTGTTTTAAGTGAGAATGGGTCGCCAGGGTTCCAAGGGCCTCCAGGAAGCACTCTGAGACTATGAGCAACCACCAGGCCTGATGTTTCTTTGCCATGACACTTTTTCTCAAGGGGTCTCCTATGCTTTGTGTGTATTAACTGACTCCTGACCCAGAGTCACCTGCTCTGTCCCTGCCATCAGCACAGAGGAGCCTCATCATCAGTTTTCCCATCGAAGGAAGGTTATAGGGACAGACACTTGGGCCTGACGTTGGAAGATGCTGGTTGTACTTCTTAACGTTAGTTAGTCATTAGTTCACTCATTAATTTACAAATACTTTTGAACACCTACTATATGGGATACAAACTATGGACTTTGAGCAATTCACTACTTTTTTCTGAGCCTCGATTTCTTTTTCTAGAAAACAAATGAAGGTGGGACTAGATGATCCCTGGCATTTCCCCTACAGAGCATCGTTCCTGGGCTGTAACCACGGCTGGCCCAGCTCCTCAGCCCTCATTTCCCCAACCATCTCCATAAGGTGCTGCCCTCTGGCAGGAGCGGTGCAGGACTAGGGTGTGACAGATCACACAGTGACTCTGCCTGAAGTTACAGCAGCCTGGCAAAGCCATCCTTCAGGACCCTGAGGGTCTGAGAGTGAGGCCCACTGACTGAGGGAGAAGGGAGGGTACTGAGGTCACAAGGTGTCACGGGAAGAGCTTTGGATTCCAGTGAAAAGACCTGGGTTCTTGTCCTGGCTCGGTGCTTTCCAGCCCTGGGAAGCTTCCTTGGGCCCCAGTTTTCTCATCGATAAAACAGGGATGATCCCTGCCCTGCCAACCTCTCCTGGCTTTTGTGAGGTCAGCAGAAATCACAGAACCAGATGTGCTTGAAGAGCCCTTTCCTGTGGAGATGCACCAGGCTGCCACTTACTGGAGGACCCCCCATCCTTCATTCCTGGATGTCTCATTCCTGGGTGTCACTCCCAGGGCCCCTGCAGGCGCTGCAGCCTCGGATGCTCACAAGGCTTCAGGCCATTCCCACGCTGTTTCTGGGAGGGTGCGGCTGAGGGGGCCCCCAGGCTCCTCAGTGGTCATGCGTGCACCCCTCCCCACTCGCCCCCACACACCGGATTTGTCACACGCTTTCTCCGAAACACAAAACAACATCCGCTCTGGAGGTGGAACGTGAAGCTCAGAGCAGGTGTGGAGGAAGCGCGTGTGTGGGCGGGCACCCTGCCCTGCCCTGCCCCAGCCATCCGGTCTCCACTGGCCCAGAGTGGCTGTCTTGTGATGTCCTCCAGCCACCAAACGGGCCAAGACTCGAGAGGGCAACCTCGGGCCTCTGGTTAGAGTGACTGGCTGCCGGGCTTTCAGCTCAATCACCCCTACCTTCCCTACTTAGAGGGCTCTTCCCATGCCCTCCAGCTGTCACACAGCTGAGCTCTGTCGTCCACTGGGCTTGAGGCCTGTGGTGACCTTGGAGAGACAGAGAGAGACTGTGAATAAACGACGGCTGCCGGGCTTTCAGCTCAATCACCCCTACCTTCCCTACTTAGAGGGCTCTTCCCATGCCTTCCAGCTGTCGCACAGCTGAGCTCTGTTGTCCACTGGGCTTGAGGCCTGTGGTGACCTTGGAGAGACAGAGAGAGACTGTGAATAAACGAATGTGGTGTGTGTGTGAGTAGGTGTGAGCGTGTGTGAGTGTGAATGTCTGTGTAACTGTGATCTGTGAGTGTGTGAAGTACGTGCACAGTGTGATTGTGAGTGTAGCATGTGGAGTGTGAGTGTGCCCTGTCTGTTGTGTGATGCATCAGTGTGAGGTGTGCAGTTGTCAGTGTGTGGGTGTGCACTGTGTGGCATACGATGTGTATGGCATGTGACATGTGCGTGTGGAGTGAGTGCGTGTGGGAGGTGTGGCTATGAGTGTGTGTTGTGTGAGCACGAGAAGGTGTGGAGTGTCACGTGTGCGTGTGTGCACACGGGCGTATGTCCATGAGCCCAGGGGTTGGCTGCGTGGTGGTGGGGCCTGCCAGACAGTGCTGGAGATGTGTGGGCTGAGAGTGGGCACGGGAGCTTTTCACATCATGTATGGCCACAACAAAACCTTAAAAACACTCCATTGGGTTGGTAAGAACAAGAATTAGGACTCTGAGGATTGCCAGGTAGGAGGTGAAGGTTTGGAGTGTGAGGGACCGAAACTCCCCGACCTGAGCCTGTCCGATCTCTACCTTCAGATGCTGCCTGAGGGTCTCAGGGGTGGGGCTCCTGGCTAAACTGTGAGGTTTACCATCCTTACTCTCTTTGTTTCTCCTCCCAATTTTCTCTCTCCTTTCTGACTCTGCCTCTCAGAGCTGCCGTACCGCCTGGTGCTCCTGTTCCCAGGAGCACATCTGACAGGCTGAGGCACATGGGGGACAGGGACTTGGTGGCCTAACAGCCCGATGGCAGGTCCGTGGACTAGGTGTATTTATTCACT